AAAAAAAATGATCATCAGTGGCAAACGTTATCAAATGGAAGAAAGCCCAGAGGATTTACACATGTTTGCAGAATGCATCATAACACTCTGACAATAATAGCTTTCCGGGTGGACACATGTTTGCAGAATGCATCATAACCCTCTGACAATAATAGCTTTCCGGGTGGACACATGTTTGCAGAATGCATCATAACACTCTGACAATAATAGCTTTCCGGGTGGACACATGTTTGCAGAATGCATCATAACCCTCTGACAAGAATAGCTTTCCGGGTGAACACATGTTCGCAGAATGCATCATAACCCTCTGAGAATAATAGCTTTCCGGGTGGACACATGTTTGCAGAATGCATCATAACCCTCTGACAAGAATAGCTTTCCGGGTAGACACATGTTTGCAGAATGCATCATAACACTCTGACAAGAATAGCTTTCCGGGTGGACACATGTTTGCAGAATGCATCATAACCCTCTGAGAATAATAGCCTTCTGGGTGGACACATGTTCGCAGAATGCATCATAACCCTCTGAGAATAATAGCTTTCCGGGTGGACACATGTTCGCAGAATGCATCATAACCCTCTGAGAATAATAGCTTTCCGGGTGGACACATGTTTGCAGAATGCATCATAACACTCTGACAAGAATAGCTTTCCGGGTGGACACATGTGTAGTGAACCTCATTCTCCTAGATAAATTATGTCCCAGACGGAATGACGTCAGTATTAAATGTTAGTGGAATATTTTGAGTCTAACGGGGACAACACGTGAGTTGTAGAGAAATGCTGACAGTCGAACTTCATGATAATTATAATTATTCACGGGGGTCACACAGAAACTGCTAGCCAAATGGAATTCGTGTAAATCGGAGAAGTATGATGGAGTGTCTGTGGGATCCAGAAAGAGTGTTTAAGTCCGATGCGTCTGCATTGTGTCTTTCCAACGCCTACCTGGCAATCAGTAGCGGCTAACTGAAGTGCCGTAGCCAGCTGAGAATGTTTGTATTTTGATCGGATGGACTTGTTGTTATTCATTCAATTGTTGGATGGAATGTATATTATAAGGTAAAGTTGACATGTTCGATAAGTGAGGATAGATATAAGTGACTATGTTGTACCATAACATGTACTGGCTGCAGTACCAGCGAGTGAACAAATAAACAACTGTTGTAATTTGGATCGTTCGACAGCGTCCATGTTTTCTCGTGTGTTGTCAGTCAGTGAATGGAAGCGTGCATTGAATAGAGCCAGAAAAAGACAATAAAGAGTCAGTGCATCATGTTTGCAGAATGCATCATAACCCTCTGACAAGTATAGCTTTCCGGGTGGACACATGTTTGCAGAATGCATCATAACACTTCGACAAGAATAGCTCTCCGGGTGGACACATGTTTGCAGAATGCATCATAACCCTCTGACAAGAATAGCTTTCCGGGTGGACACATGTTTGCAGAATGCATCATAACACTTCGACAAGAATAGCTCTCCGGGTAGACACATGTTTGCAGAATGCATCAAAACACTTCGACAAGAATAGCTCTCCGGGTGGAAACATGTTTGCAGAATGCATCATAACACTTCGACAAGAATAGCTCTCCGGGTGGACACATGTTTGCAGAGTGCATCATAACCCTCTGACAAGAATAGCTTTCCGGGTGGACACATGTTTGCAGAATGCATCATAACACTTCGACAAGAATAGCTCTCTGGGTGGACACATGTTTGCAGAATGCATCATAACACTTCGACAAGAATAGCTCTCCGGGTGGACGGCAAATTTAAAAAAAAAAAAAAAAAAATAATAAACACACATTTAGGATTGTGTTACTGGAGTACTTTGAAAAAACAACAACCAAAGAGCATTATTGTACTTTGTCAAACATGCCGTAGAAGCATGTTTTGGTGATTAATTATGTAAAATACTTCTTCGGAAACGCCAACCATCTATAAACAAACTGAAAACAGAAGCATAGTATCGTTTTTATTTCTACTTAGGCCATGAAAAAGAGAAGATAAGCCTGTAGTTGTTTATTTCTTTTGTTTATTCAACGGATCAACATTATAGCACAGGGGTGTAACCCAAAGTGCTCTGTTCTAAGTCAAGTCTGAGTCCTAAGTATCTCAGCGGAAAGCACGAATTCATTTGCACCGGCGAGGATCCTGAAATACTTTGGATAGATTTTTAACTCACAATTTTGCCCGGACAGCACCGTAAGGCTACTCGTTTTTCGATTTCCATTTGCCAAGGTGTTTTTTACGTGCCCAACAATAAACACGGGCATCCGGTCTTACTACCCAGAGACCAGGGGAAATTACTAGAATTCCACGTAAGGCTTCTAGTTGTATGATTAATTACTACCAGCACAACAGAAACGAAAAAATATTTAACAAAACGATGTTCAAAGTACTGGTTTATTTCGATCAGTAGAGCATTGTAAATATTTAGCTGCTTTGTGTCAAGATAACGTAAGTATATAGATATATATGTGTACAACCACCATCACGTGCCTTGCCAGCTGGTGTAAACCTTCATGCATCTCCACAGAATTTGGTCTTTTGAATTCTGGATCAATTCCAGTGATTATATTCCTCCATGCCAGTGTCTCAAGCCATCCACCATTATTTAACTTGATCTGGTTCTGCCTATTCTACCAGTGATCTTTCCATTCATCATGATATTTGTCAGTGCTCTTTTTCTCATCAATTGACCAAAGAACTTGTTTGTCTCCTTCTCATTGTTGCATATAATGCTCTGCTTTCATGAGCCATTTCCAGACAATCATTGATAGTTTTTCTGGCAGTCTAAGGTATTCGCAATATTCTTCTCAAGAACCACATCTCAGTCGCTTCCAGACTCTTCTAAATTTGCTTGCTCACATTCCAAGATTCACTTGCATGGAACAGAACAGGCTCCACATACTGTTTTAGTGCTCGTTTTCAGATGTTTAATGAGATTGGTTTATTGTTATAATTTAGAATATATATATATATATATATATATATATATATATATATATATATATATATATATATATATATATATATATATATATAAACACTAACACATTTTCCCTTTCAAATTTGTAAATATGTCCAAAACACAAAATAAGAAAATGATATACTCTTTCTTTCTGAACTAAAATATTTAATAATAAACTCTTCAAACGAAGGAAGCCGCCTTGAACTAGACGCTCGCCTGCACGTCCGGAGGTCGTGGGTTCAGATACGTATCGAACCAAATAGTTTTATCAAAAATGTAAAACCTAGGCTTCTAGGTCGAGCTAGCATATATCGATACCAAGTAAACTTCTGGGAAATAAATGCTATCGACACCGTACCGATCACATCACCTATCAAGTGCTTGTTGCTATTCACGTTAGAGGTCTAGTATATCTGGTACCCGTAGAAATGGATCCTTTAATGAGCTTATAACGGTAAGAGAGAGATTATAAGTTTGAAAAAAAAAAAAAGAAGATAATTTAGTTTTCTTATGAAGCATTACTTCCAACAAGATAATTGTATATGTTTTACGACAGCCAAAAAGACAAGGTTAGGCGAAAGGATACCGAGATTAAAAAAAGATTATAAAGAAAAATTAAAAGACGCCTTCCAGGTATTTGCAAGATCGAAACCCACCGCTGGCTGTGTGGATTTTTATCATGGTATGGGACGTCGCAAGTGCACTAAGTAATAAACGTATATATATATATATATATATATATATATATATATATATATATATATATATATATATATATATATATATATATATATACCAGGATGTATGTCTTGGGAAAGTAAAGATGGCCGGCGTACTGCAGACCACATTACCCACCTAGTGACGATTGTTCTATAAAAATATGGGTGCTCTTCCCATATGCCCGATGCGCCTAAAGCGTGAAAAGGAATCTTTACTTTACTTCTATGCATAATTACATTTCTTGAAAGCAAAATAAATTACACTGGATAAAACCTAAATTATTTTAATTTGACATCTAATGATTACGGTTCTGCGTGTCAAAAAGACGGGAAAGACACATACAGTCACTGATTAGCTATACTGAGTGGTTGGTGCCTGTACACATAGATGGATTACAAAGGTTCATTAAACCTCAGCAGTGCAGCAAAAGAAGATGACTACACGGATGATAAAAATAAGATGCAGAAAGGTGTAATGACAACTAAAGGAGAAGCCATAAAATATAGCAAAAGAAAAATACTGCAGTTGTAACCAATGTTATGCTTAGCATGTTGAACATCGTCGAATTGTTATTTTTTTTTATTTTCTGTCTTTGTGAATCATTTTAAAAAAAAACGTAATTATGGAAAGAGATAGGAAAAATGGAAAGGGAAAGGGCGCTTGAAAGGATCTGCAGAAGGGAAGGAAAGGAGGTGCGGGAGTTGAGTACTGATGATCTACTTGGGAAATCAACTGCAGGCGGAGTAGGAGCAAAAGACTGACTGACTGACTTTCTACCTCACTAGGACATCACACAAGCGACAAACACCCGATGACACAAAGTGCCACCATGTGGATGAGAATCGCTGTGGAGAGGTCCCAAAAACCGCGTTCAGACAATTGGCCATATTAATGGCCTGCCTATATTGCGGCCCCTGACAAAAGCCAAAGTGGGGCTTCAAATAACAAACAAACAAACAAAAAAAAAAAAAAAAAAAAAATTACGTCCTAAAAAGAATAAGGAGCAAAAGAGATAACAAAACACTATAAATAATAATGGCAAGTTGCTGGAAATTGTGGCAACATATTTTTTTCATACGTTCAGAAATAAATTATTTGTCGACTGAATCTGAAAAGAATTTATATTAAATAACAGTAAATCTTTGCTGATAAACAAAGAGGTGCAACATGTAGAGGAACATATAGGGGAATGCTAACAGTGTTAGGCTGCCTGACTACAAAGACGACAGATTTGAATATATAAACAACTCTACTGATAATAAATAGTTTTTCTCAGAACGTTTCATGGTCTATAAGAAAGGTCAATATTGCCTTAGCAGTCTGTCACAATGTCTGCAATACATGGGACAGTATGTGGTTGGCTCAGTACATTTACCATTCTCCTCCCAAGACCTACAACTCATTGACAGCTTCTGGCAAAGCTGTGGAGTTGGAATTTCGGAATCTTTGAAAGAAATGTGTCCTGAGCCATCACAATACTGAAAATGCTTTCCTGGACACCAGCATTTACAATCCCGTCCTATAAAACCTTCAACCGGACATTTAAGAGAGGGATTACATCTCTGGCTGCATTTATACATCAAATTTACCAGTTTCACGTCATAAAAGCTCAAATGTTTGTTATATCCAATAATATTTTGAAACTGTGGATCCTTTGTCTCAATGGTAAGTTGATGATTTTTACCGAAAGCTGTGCCAAAATAGTGCATAATACTTCTATAATCGTATTTCAAACCATAAGTATCGATAAGGTAACTTTTGAAAAAATTATATTCCATTCCGTATTTGATATTGTTTGTAAGAATTGTAACAAACTGGTCTCTGTCTGGGCGACTATGTTCATGAAAAAATCCAACTGCGTGTCCTATTTCATGGATAACTGTCTGTCCCGTTACACACGATGGAAAATCTGTTCCTAATGAAATGTTCTGCACACCTCCCGTCATTCCAATGTTGGACTTACAACCCTTGCCATTTATGAAATTTACAATATTTTTGTCTTGTTCTCTAGTCGGTCTAAACGTGAGACATGTGTTCTGCTGCCATTCATCCATGGCTTGAAAGATTACATAAATCTCTTCATCAGTGAATTGAGAATAGTCAATTTCAAATGGTATCTCCTTTTGTGTCCAAAGCTTGGACGGGTCATTTATGGCCTTTCTTCTCTCTCTGGTCAGTTTTGGATGATCTAACGGATCAGACGTGTTATTCATCGCCTGAAAATTATATAATTCACATAAAGACACCTAAAAAAAAGGAGCTCAAATATAAGTTATTTACAAACACGAACACGCACACACACACACACACACAAACACACAGACAGACAGACACACACACACATACATACACACACACACACACACACACATGAGATTTCGTCTGATTTTCTTTTGTTGATAACTTCCCCCTTGAAAAGGCCTTTGTTGTGACGTAGCCTGTGATTTAGCTCTTTACAACTCAACACTCGATTTCAGAAACATTCTAATTAGTCACCTTGTATGTTATGCTTATTGGGGCAATGGTTTTTTTTTCCACTTATGTGTATGTTCAGTGGCTGTAAACTCCTGGGTAAAGTTCTAGTTTTGGTTCGATTTCTAGACAATGGTCTTTTACAACAAGTTTGTTCTGCGTGTACATCCGTTTTACAGGTTTGGCTTATTTGTTTGCAGACTGTTGATTCCTGGGTTTTCGGGAAGAGGAAGTAAGGCTTCAAATGATTCTTGCCATACAGAAAGTGGAATAAGGTAGCTGTGCATCCACTGTTCTGGGACTGAATCTGTCTTAATGCTCTGGTTGAAATAAGAATTCATCTCCCCCATGTCTGCATCACTCATGTATTTCAAATGGGAATGTCTTTCGACATCAAGCCCGAGTGCACTGTCGTTCGCTCTTTTCAGAACATGTTGTACATCTTCCATCCGTATGATGTCTTTGTAAAATTGGTTCTTTACCGTGGCTGCCAGATTTGATTGTTTCTGTGTTGTCTCAGTCATTGTTGTCTGTCTGTCAAATCAACCTCTTCAGGAATGAGTCCTTATTCTCTTTGTCTGTCGTTAATATAGTACCGTCATCTCTATGAGTTTTTCCCACTGCGTTGGGCCGGTCTTTCTTAAGGATATGCCTATGTAGCTTCCGAAACTTTCCCAATGTCTTATCGCCCCCAACCTCTGCCGCACAGCGCTTGAAAAACTCTATCCTTTCTTTCTTATTACTTTCCACGCACTCCGATTCATTCTGTGAGCTTAGGGCTGTCTGTCGCACTTTCTTTAAACACTTTAATGCAGCTCTCCTTAACTTCCATGCATGTTCCACCTTTAATGTCAGCCTTGGAGGCTGCAGAAAATTAGATCTACCGGTCCTCTTACAGGCCCTCTATCAGAGGCGTCCAAAAAAGATGTTTGTCCCCTCATACTTGAAAGACCTATGAGCTCTTGAAGCCTTGACTTTCCTAGATTTGGAGATCAATACCGAACATGGCAGAGGATCACCCAGGAACCTCCTTTTAGTGTCCAGTTTTGCTGACTGGGTAACCAGAGCCAGGTCAGTAGTCGTAAATGCATCACTGAGCCTCATTGCCATTATAGTTGGCCTCTCATCGTTTAAATGGACAAAGTCTGAATCGACTATGGCGTCGGCATGGGCAACTCCAAGTCGGTTTTCCATAATACTGTCCTATTCATTATTCCTTGCACTGAAATTGCCACAAATAAGGAACCTGTTGCTAGGCATAACCTCCAGGTCTTTCAGCCAGTCCCAGTGTTGCTTTGTAACTAATGAGCCAGACCTAGAATGGTGTAAATTTATTTCATCTTTTTTTAAAAATTATATTAAATATTCGATATTTGTACGTTACATAAGATGCGTAACGGTCACAAGTAAGTAAGTTTTACTCCACCATGACATCACATAGAGCGATAAACAGCCGGTGACATAAAGTGCCACTGTGCGTGTGAGGATCACCCGTGGAGAGGTCCCAGAAACCCTGTTGAACAGCCTGGTTAGGCTTTAGAATTGTGAGATGCACGACACAGATAACGTGAATTTTGAAAGTTGTGTGAACTTTTGGCTGGCTTTGAATATCAGGAAGTATTTTTAGCTAGCTCCAAACAGGGGAACCCTGGAATCTGCTGGAAAGTCCAGTATTATAGGGGTATTACGGTTTGAACTAATCACCGACTAACCCTATATCTAACGTTAACCATAACACCCTATAATATTGGGATTTCATGGGTTTCCGCGGTTGGAGGTGAATAAAAAAAAATAAAGTACCATATTTCATACTACACAAGGTAAATACTGGGCCCTCATTAAGGAATTAAACATGGTTGGTGTGGTATTTGTCATTTCATACATTACAGGTTGATGATTTGCGTGTACATTTTTGGTTCTGGCCCAAGCACCGAATAACTAACTTCACGTAAGAAGTAAAGACTGCTTTAGTGTTTATACTTACTAGAGAATCAAAGGCTTTAGCAGGAAAACTCGGTTTATCTTCAAATGAAAGTTGACTGTTGACATCGTCATTGACAACGTTCTTAATATGTCTGCCAGATGTCAGGTGAAGGCCTACAACACACAGCACCTGTAGAATGAATCAAATCTGACATTATATTCATGTTCATGTACACTGATTGTCTACACGAGCCGCCACTGATTAATCTCGGTATTTACAGGTCCCAAGCTGGGATGAGAACAAGCGAGGATGAGAAACGAGGATCGTTAAGACACAGACTCAAAATATCACGCCATTCCGTGTTTCCTTTGGTCGTCCATGTCTCCTTTTCCATCTGCCAACCACCGGAAAACTGGCCTTGCCAAAGTGTCAGGAAGAATTCCGCTAAAATGCCCAAGCTCTCTCCAGCGAATACTCTGATTATGCTTGCCAGTAATGAACATTTTGCTTTCTTTGTTAAGTTCTTTACTGGCGATCCTCTTTGGCCAAAAAAGAAGCCGAATAATCGGCTATCCTCCGAATAACGGTCCCAAATTATCGAGGCCGAAAATATACCCTAACAGGGCCTCAGTCAAATGTAAATTGCGGACTTCTGGTGACTATCGCCACCGCCGAGAGTACGTCTCACGCCGCTACGCGGCGGCGTGGAGCGGTGCTAAACTGGATGGCTGGAACTCACGAGCAAAGAAAATGAAGGAAGCTGCAGGAGATGCGGTAGCTGCTGCTCGTGATTCCCAGCCATCTCGTTTAGCCCCGACCCACGCCGCTGCGGCGTGGGAGATACTCTCGGTGTTGGCGGTAGTCTCCGGAAGTGCGCAATTTAAGTCGCCGGAAGTATTCAACTGACATGTGACTGAGGCCCTGTTAGGGTATATTTTCGGCCTCGATAATTTGGGACCGTTATTCGGAGGATAGATGTAACATCGATATCTAAAATACAAACTAATCGAAAAAATATATGAAAAAACTTTACTAACTGTTGTAAATTTTAGTATTCTTTATGAAAGTATATTATTGTATCATCAAGACGTACTGAGTGACGTTCAACCCCACAAGGACCGATAACAAGCGATAAACACCCGGTGACAAAGAAACCCATATTAGGATGAGAATCACCCGAAGACAAGTCCCAGAAATCCTGTTCAACATTTAGGGTATATTAGGGCTCCCCGACTACAGCCAGGGTGGTGTGTTTAAATTTTTTTTTTTTTATCCCATATCATTGTCATGACGAGTGCTTGCCTACCGTTTATCGGCACCCGTATGCAGTCTTGGAAGTTTGACAACCTGCGATCAGGAGGTTTCAGTGTGGAGGGCAGATCAGCAGGACCTGGAGGATTAAATGAGAGTAAAGTGTCTAGGTTTTGATGCCAGACCAAAACGGGCAAGCACAATGCACCGCCCAACATCCAAGGAAGTTACAATTAGGACAATCACATTAGCCAGTTGCAACCTGCAGTTCTGCGCGGATAAAAATTGCACAAAGAAGGCAACGAACTTACAACGAAAACAGCAGCAATGTTTCGTTTTATCATGGTGCTAATTGTCTGCTAACGGACAACCTGGGATTTTTATCACAAACAGTATAGTTGATAAATAGTTCACTTCTGTCCCTTTGTCACAAAGCACTGTAAGATGAGCCGGCCAGGCTGCCCTGGAATGGCGATCACTGAAAATCAGATGTACCTAGGAGATCAGATTTCTAACAGTGCTTATATAATAATGACTTTGGAAGTCTGTTTGATCTGAGGATGTTTCGGACGAAACGATTTTTTTTACCTGTTGTCAAACGAACAACCTGACTGGCTGTTCATAATTGATTCTGCACTGTTTAAACAGGCTGTAACATAAGTTATCCGCCTCAATTTCTTGTCTCGCTGATACATTTTATAATACAGGTGCTAATACGTGGTGTCGCAGTGGGTGGAGTTTCAAGGTATATTTATAGATTCAGAGATTTATTGTCTGGGAATGTCAAGATGTGGATTACCCTTTCATTATATCTCAAGTTCTGTCACAGGTAAGGAGCTGGGGCAAGACCGTAGGGTGAATGGTGACATTCGTGTATCAAGAACATAATTACATCAAACAGTAAGGGCCTTATTGTTTGCGGCAGGTAGTACGAAGTAATGTATTTGAAATTTCAATTTTAAATAAAGAATCAACAACATAGCAATCGGGCCAGACCAGTAAGGGCCCTGTCCCCGTCTTCAGCACCAAACGCAGCGGTCCTATTCCAATAGTACCAGTAAAGGTCTGATTGTATATGCGTCTCGCCTTTCCACTGAATGCTGCTGAACCATGCTCGGACCATGATAGTCTGTTTGTGCCTCTGAACTGTTCACTCGCTACCTAAAGTACTTTACAACCTGGTAATCTGGTAATCCTAGTTTCAGCTTCATAGCAAACGGGTCACCCCACATATGCTCAGCTCCTGTGCCAACGAAAAACAAACGCAGCTCACAGTGTCACATCTTGTTTGTCATACATCACTTGTCCACCAAGTGAAGCACAATTAGTCTGTCTATCTGACCATTCATTCCCCAATACACTGATTTCAGTGGTGGAAAATATCCAAAGTATGTTAGCTACCTGGAACATCTGAAACGAAGCTTGCCACTCTGCACGGAAAACACTTGTCTTCAGCGTTCACAACATACTCCACTGGTTACATAGAATTATGACATATGTAAACTGCTGGTTCTCGAGCCAGCGGACAGCAGAAGTAACTGCTTCCACCTCCATCCTGAAACTACAGGT